CTTAAATGATAAGGACTTTATGTGTTCATTTCCCGTAACAGTAAGTCTGGAGGGATGAAATCCAGGGTGGGTGTGGTGATTCCATAATTCTCTCCACACTCGTGCTCCTGTCTGTCTGGTCTACCATCTTTAGCTCATAGCTTTCACCTTCATGCATGTAAGATGGTTTCCACAACCTTAGGCAAGAGGTTTACTTTCCAAACAGAACAAAGAATGGAATAAGGAAGGAGGAATGGACAGTGCTTATATATCAACTGTGGTACACAGCAAGGGATTTGGGGAAATAGATTACTTAGCTGAGTACCTTGTTTCCCAGAACAAAATTGGGGTTCCCTTACTAAGTAAGAAGGAGAGAATAGATCCAAAGTAGGCAATTAGCCACGACGGCCACAATGACAAAACAATTTAAAGTGTATGTTCATGAGCTTGTGACATTCATGATCTTGTGTTCTCATAAAACACTGTTGGAGGACTTCCCTGGTGGCGCAGTGGTTAAAAATCCACCTGCTAATGCAGGGGACACGGGTTCGAGCCCTGGTGCGGGAAGATCCCATGTGCTGCGGAGCAGCTAAGCCCGTGCGCCACAACTCCTGAGCCTGCAGTCTAGATGCCATGCTCTGCAACAAGAGAAGCCACCACAGTGAGAAGCCCACGCACCGCAACAAAGGGTAACCCCCCCCCGCTCACCGCAACTAGAGAAAGCCTGTGTGCAGCAGCAAAGACCCAATGCAGCCAAAAAAAAAAAAGATACATTAAAAAAAATAAAACACTGTTGGAATTTTTCTATTAATATTCTTTACTTATTTGTTGAACATTGGTTTTGTTGACAGCTAGCAAGGAAGTAATCTCACATAGTGAGGGTTTAAGAAATCTAAGTGAAAAAAAAACTCACTTAAAATGAGAAAATTCTCTCCATTGAAGCTTTTCTTTTTCAAATGAGTAACTGAAATTCTACTTGATTTTAATGAAGGTACATTATAGTCTAGGACACGAGTTTTTCTAAGGAACATGGTTTGGGAACCACTGATAATTAATATTTATGCGTACTATTAAATTATTTGTGTCTCTGCTTTCACTCACGTTGTTCACAGATAAGAACATTCTTTTCTCTCTCTTTTAATATTACCACATGTTGTGGGCAATTAAAACAATGCCATTTCTAAATTTTGTGTAATGATCCTATCTATATTAGTTTTATAATCAAAAAAAGTCTTACTAATTTTTCAAGGTCAGTGAAAGTCTTGCCATCTTTGACACTGCATCCTACACTTCAAATCTATTTTTATTTCCTACTTCTTGAAACTCCTAGAGCAAACATAGTCTGTACAACACAATTTCCGCCTTATTATAGACTATATTTATATTGAATTAATCACTTATTGTTCCATATGTTAGCAAGATCATAAGCTCCCTGTTATGTTCTTTCCAGTGTATCCCAAATTCTTAGCATAATATTAGATACATAGGAGATACATAATTGCTTCCTGATCAACTAACTACATAATCACATTTACCACATTAACACACATGAAAATAGCATGGATTTGTTAGCAGGATAGGTGTAAAATAAAACTGACAAGTAACCAGTATAATCAGAATTTTATGACTTTTCACTCTTACCTGTTAATGTAGGACCTCTAGCTCCCACAGAATGCCTCCTTGCCAAGTTTATTTTTGGAGTTACCCAGGGGTGTACCATGTAGGCTCACTAATGTATTCTGGCCGCTGCCACACAGCATGTCTTGTTTTTCTTGTGATGTTAGCTGCCCCTGAAGTTGCGCATTGGTACCTGCCCCTAGATATCAGAGGTGTACCTTGGAGCCTGACACCACTATCTCCTTGGCTTTGTGCTGGCCTGCCCAGGTGTGCTGAGCCAGGGATGGTGAGGTGTCCTAGCCCCTTTTCTACCCCTCTTGTATCTTGTCATGTGGGTATCAAAGTGGAGCTCTTTGTGTCTTGTTGCCTCAGAGCTTTTTTTAGTTTGTTTTTGTTTTTAATTTTTATTGAAGTATAGTTGATTTACAATGTTGTGTTAGTTTCAGGTGTACAGCAGAGTGAATTAGTTATACATGTATCCACTTTTTTTTTTTTTTACATTCTTTTCCTATATAGGCCCTTATAAGAGTATTGAGTAGAGTTCCCTGTACTATATACAACAGGTTCTTATTAGTTGTCTATTTTATATATAGTAGTGTGTATATGTCAATCCCAATCTCCCAATTTATCCCTCCCCCCATCCCCATGTAACCATATGTTTGTTTTCTACATTCGTGACTCTACTTCTGTTTTGTAAATAAGTTCATTTGTGCCCTTTTTTTTTTAGATTCCACATATAAGCGATATCATATGATATTTGTCTTTCTGTGTCTGACTTACTTCACTCAGTGTGACAATCTCTAGGTCCACCCATGTTGCTACAAATGGCATTATTTCTGTTCTTTTTTATGGCTGAGTAATATTCCATTGTATATATGTACCACATCTTCTTTTTCCATTCCTCTGTTGATGGACATTTAGGTTGCTTCCATGTCCTGGCTATTGTAAATAGTGCTGCAGTGAACATTGGGGTGCATGTATCTTTTTGAATTATGGTTTCTCCAGGTATTTGCCCAGGAGTGGGATTGTTTGGGTGCTTCAGAGTTTTTAGTGAAAGGCATTCTTTAGTTTCTCATTGTTAGCCTCTCTGTCTCCATCATGATGACCCTATGGGGCAGTCCGGATGAGATACCACCCTGTGCTTGGGATCACTCCTCCTTTCCAACCAAGGCTTTGTTTATCAGGCTGAGCTTTTCTGCCTCACTTTAGTAAGGATGATTATTCTCTAAAAATGTTCCTTCGTCCCTCATGCAAACAGATGCTTGAACAACTCTCACAGAGATGTGAGAATCTTAGTGGCAGGGAGGGTTTAGGCTCCAGATTGCAATCTTGTGCTTTTAAAATGCAACAGGTAAAACATTGCAACTCAAAAGAATCTCAAGCCAGGATAGCAAGTCTTAACTCAGAGCATGATCTTGACCCATGGACAAAATAAAAACTTTATTCTTGTTTGGTATGTGTAATTGTATTGGAACCCAGTGTGAACTTTAAGGCTACAAAGAAAAGAAATAAGAGAAATACACTAAATTTTATTTCTCAAATTGTGCAATTGTTTTTATTTCTGTGGTCCCTTTAATTGATGAAGCCTGTGGTTGAGCAAAGATATTATGCATTCTTATCTTCTTTTCCAGAGCAGTTCTTTATTAATGTATAGTTATCTTCTTTGGGTTTTAAAATGTACATTAGACAGTAACTGGAACCCGGACCTTGTGCAGGTTCCCAGTAGGAATGTAGGCAGATTGAAAAAAGCACCCCCCACACTTAAGATTGAGCCTCAGGAGCTAATGCAAGAGGTTAAGTGGGGAAGAGAAGAACAAGCAAAAGGTGGGAGATGAGGAAAACCGAGAACATAAAGCCTCCAGAGCCAGGATGAAAGAATAGAAAGATGGTCATTTGTGCCTTGAATAGTGAGAGAAACAGAGAGAGCAACAAAACAGCTGCATTAGTTTCCTGTAGTTTTCATTTCTACTCATCTTTTTTTTTTTTTTTATTTTACACATAGCTTGAACTTTAGAGCAATCCAATTTTGTGCACCTGAGATCCATTTAAGGAAAAGAAGAAAAAATTTTTGTAACCAATAGTTACATAGACATATGCTTACTTTAGTGCAGTGCTTGGTGCAGAGTGGTTTCTCAAATAAGTACTGTGACTATCAGCTCCTTGTGTATTTAGGTACTTGACTGCCAGCTCGTTGGAGGGTCAACTAGGAGGAGGAGACTTGAGACACATTGCAGAGCACTGAGGCCAAGTGGGGCAGAGAGAGGAAATGATGGTCAACCAGGACAGATGTCACTAGATAGAGAAGTAGAGTGTCCTTGACTCAGTCCACCGAGTCCTGATTTGAAGTCTAGAAGTAGAAAACAACCAGGGATGAAGGATTGCTGGAGAAAAGCTCGCTGAGATCTGTTTGCCAAGACCTTGTCTCCATCTAGAGCTGCATGAGATCTTGTGCTCTTTCCAGAGTCTCTCAGCTATTGAGCCACAGGGTCAGAAGCTAACTTAGGCCTCTCTGCTCCCAGACTCATGAGTTCATCTCTACACTGGGATGAATTTTTAAGCAACCATTTGTTTACTGTTTGTATAAGTGCATTTGTTGTTATCGCTCTCATTCCCAGAAGGGAGGATATGAAAATTGTCTTTGTAGTGGTTTTCACCCAATTCCATGTGATTGGGTGCTTTACTTAGCATTAACCTGGAAGCAGTTTATTAGGTTTCCTAGAGAGATTATTTTGATAGTTCCAGAATAAGACTGACAGTTTTGGAACAGGCACAGAATGACCACAGAATACTAGTATTATTGATAGGCTCTGCTTCCTGTGGTAGTAAAATTAAATCAGTCATTTAAAAAATTTAAGTTGAGAAAGATTTTGAATCTTTCTTTGCATGTAAATGCTCCATATGTACCTGTTGTATGAGATTCAAGCTTACTTCATAATTCTTTTGTAATTAAAACTGTTTATTTGTTCTAGAGTGAATAATGATCATCCAAAACTTATTTTGGGTACCAGAAGAATCAAGATTCTTTTTAGTTATTATTTTTTATCCTTAAAAGTAACTTAAACACTAGAAAAATAATCTAAAATGTTAAGACAATAGTAAGAAGACTGTCTTAAGCTCTTGGCAGGAAAAATATAAAGATTCTTTGGATTTATCTTTGGGAATTATATGAAATCCTGAAATTTTGAGTTTTATTTTTCTTTGCTTTTATATACTTTTAGGCATATTATTATGTAGGACTCTCTTTGCAGAATCTTGAACATTTTGTGTCCAGTAGAACTTGTTTTTTGTGTTGTGTCTTATTATTATACTTGTGAATGAGGTGTAAAGATTTTTTCTTTTATTTATATATGTACCTTTGGATAAAAAAGACAAATATATATGAAACAATGTTTCCTCTTTTACAGAATTAAATGTGAGAGAATCTGATATAAGAGTTTGTGATGAATCATCGTGTAAATATGGAGGAGTCTGTAAAGAAGATGGAGATGGTTTGAAATGTGCATGTCAATTTCAGGTAAGGAAATCAAATCTCTTTTCAAAATTTTACATTTGTCATGTTTTGTAATTCCACATTTTTCAAATTAAAAAGCTTATTAAAACACCTTGAACCCCACAAGAAATTTGGGTTGACAGCCCACTGATTCTTTTTTGTCAGATGAAGCGCTCTTATTTGTACCTTCCATGCTTCTTTTCTTGAATTACGGGGGCAGACTGGCTCTAATAGAATGTGAAAATGCCTCAGGGTAGATCAGGGTTAGTGATGGACTAGAAAGGGGAACCTCAAACCAAGTGTGAATATCTTTGCTTTTCAAATGCTGTTTTAGTTGTGATTTTGTTGTTTAAAAAAACAAAAGGAATGGAAATGAAATGTGTTACATTCAATTCTTCTTCTTCTTTTTTTTTTTTTTTTGGCTGCACCACCTGGCTTAAGGGGTCTTAGTTCCCTGACCAGGGATTGAACCCGCACCCTAGGCAGTGAAAGCACACAGTCCTAACCACTGGACCGCCAGGGAATTCCCTCAATTCTTTTTTTTTGTTTATTTTCCGTGATTAAGTTATAATCTGGCTTCAGAATATTGTTCACAAGATGGTCCCTTATTAAGGATTTGAGATGAGACAAAGAAGGAACTAGAATTTTTTAAACTCATAATCTTATTCTAACTGTACCCACCATTTTGGATTTTAAAGGTAGGAAAGGGAACAGATCAGGAATAAAAGCATAGGATAGTCAGTTACTTCTAGTAACCCTATAACTTCAGGCATGTTTTTGTATTATCCATCTGAAAAGAGAAGGCATATTTCCCACCCTTTCTTATGATATTGTAATGAGAATTAAAATCAGAAAGGGAGCTTGAATATGAAGCCTTTTTGAAAACTATTAACTATCATGTTTATTTTCATTAAAAGAAGTAGAAAGTTTAAGTAAAGGAGGAGGGGTTGGGGAGTGTACTGTTGACCAGCCAAAAAGGTTGTTCTTGGTCAAAAGGGACTTTACAATCCACTATTTATTCACACTAGCCACCTTTGAAGTCACTTAGCTAACCCTGTGCCCACCCCTCCATGGTTGCTCATGTAACAATAGTCAGGCAAGTGTAACTACTATATATAAAATAGATAATCAGCATGGACCTACTGTATAGCACAGGGAACTCTATTCGGTAATAACCTACATGGGAGAAGAATCTGAAAAAGAATGGATATATGTATACGTATAACTGAATCACTTTGCTGTACACCTGAAACTGACACAAAATTGTACATCAACTATATTCTAATATAAAATAAAAATTAAGTTAAAAAATAGGTGGTGATGTGTCTGACTGCCCTCCTTCTCCCTAAACCTTCTCAGAAATGATAGTAACTAATGTGGGCTTCTTTCCTTAAAAGAAGGTGTTGGTGTACATGGTGTATACCAAGCCCTCGTGAACTTTTACTTCTTCCTATTCTTCATGTTATATAAGTTTTATTGACCTATCTCAAGGGTCACTAATCCTTTCTTCTGTCATCTCCATTCTGCCCATCCAGTGAGTCTTTAATTTCAGATATTTTATTAAGAATTTATAGTTTCTATTTATCTGAGATTTCCTGTCTTTTCATTCATTACAAGAATATTTTCCTTGAGCATAGATATTGCTGCTTTAAAAATCTTTGCCAATTTCAACGTCTGGGACATCTTAGGGATCATCTCTGTTGATTGCCTTTTCATTTGAGAATGCATTATATTTTCTTGTGTTTTTTTTCATATTTATTTTGAATATATCCTACACATTGTGAATGGTATGTTTTCGAGTGTTTGAGTTATGTTCCTCTGAGTATTGTCATTTTTGAAACAGTTAAATTGGCTGAACTTACACTGCAGACTCTGTTTTTCCCGTTGGGGGTAGAAACACAAATATCATTTCTTTTAGTCTTAGCTGGGCTACTTGGAGTGTGCCTCATGAGTGCTTGGTTCAGAGGTCAGCCACAGAATCTGGGACTCTGTGCTCCCTCTCTCCTTTCTGGGATTTTCTCTCTCACTTTCCAGTGGCTTTGGTTCTTCATGCCACAAAGATTGCAGGTTTTTGTTGGTGTTTCAGGCATCCTGTATGGGGAAAACTGGGGCTGTTCCCTTCTTCCAACTGTCTTATATTTCCTTAGGTTAAATTCTTTGACGTGGAATTGTTGGGCCAATGAGATGTTCATGTACAGATTAACATTCTCACTAAGAGCAGTGTATCAGGCTGCTTGTCTCCTTTCAACCTCTTGGTAGTGGATTTTGTCAGTCCTTTAAAATTATATAAATCTGAAAGGGAAAAAGCTTTTTTATTTGCATTTGATTACTAGGGAAATTGGAAATGTGCCATAAACTTATTGACCATTTTTTGTGAATTAATATTTCATATTCTTTGTTCATTTTTAGTGTTTTCTTTTTCCCTTGTGTTGATTTGGGAAGACATGTGTATACACTATATATAATATACTATTTGTGTCCTTAAAATATTGCTTACTGTGCTGAGCATTTTATATCCATTGACTATTCTAAATATTTTATATATATATATATGTATAAGTTTACATAACTCATAAACTCTCATGAGAACCTATGATGTAGGTACCATTTTGATACATTTTTTAGAAGAGTGATATATGCCCATAGTAAGCAACTGAAACATTTTATAAGATATATAATATAATGAAGAAATGTCTTCCTTCCATTCTAGAATACCAGTTGCAACATCTGTTAATTCTTAAACTTCCTTATAGAAATATTCTGTTATACAAACACATAGGTGTTTTAATTTCTCTTTTAAGTACTAAATCACTTAATAGTATTTACCTTGGAGATGGTTACTTTTAGTTTATATAGATTAATAAAAAGAGTTCTGTATTTTAAAAAAGTTATCCTAGTGTCATTTTAATTTTCATTTTGTTTATATTTTCTGATATAAAGAAGTTTAAAATTTTCATTTCATATTTATATTTGTCTTTATGATTCTGCTGTTCATTCTTTGAAAGTCTTTCCCTGCAACTCTAAGATTATGAAGCCTTTTTGACCTTTTGACCAGCTAGAGAATCTTCTCATGATCTGTCTGGAATCCCTTGTATTCTTACCTTGTGGCAAAGCAAGAAAGGAAAATAAAAGTTAGTTTAGATCGGTAGTCATTTATCCAGTGCTTACTTTGTGCTAGGCACTAGGCTAGGTGCTAGGGATATAAGGATGTTTAAAGACAAGTTGCTTGCTTTGTAGGAGCAAACTGCCTAAGGGCTTATAGTGTGATTTGATCCTGCTGCTGAGCGAACCTTCCTTTGACTCCCCTGCCTTCTTACAAGCTTATAAATCTGTTCAAGTTAGACTTAGGTTCGTGCCAGTTTAAGAACAATGACCTCACATGCCCACTAAACACTACTCTGCCGGATGCTTTAGCAGCATCTTTCGATTCATTTAAAAACCTTGCTTATGAGGAGATTGGTTCAAGATGTCAGAGTAGAAGGACGTGTGCTCACTCCCTCCTGCGAGAACACATGAATCACAACTAACTGCTGAACAGTCATCGACGGGAAGACACTGGAACTCACCAAAAAAGATACCCCATGTCCAAAGACAAAGGAGAAGCCACAATGAGATGGTAGGAGGGGTGCAATCACAATAAAATCAAATCCCATAACCGCTGGGTGGGTGACTTACAAACTGGAGAACAGTTATACCACAGAAGTCCACCCACTGGAGTGAAGGTTCTGAGCCCCACATCAGGCTTCCCAACCTGGGGGGTCTAGCAACGGGAGGAGGAATTCCCAGAGTATCAGACTTTGAAGGCTAGTGGGATTTGATTGCAGGACTTCTACAGGACTGGGAGAAACAGACTCCACTCTTGGAGGGCACACACAAAGTAGTGTGTGTATCAGGACCCAGGGAGAAGGAGCAGTGACCCCACAGGAGACTGAACCAGACCTACCTCCTAGTGTTGGAGGGTCTCCTTCAGAGGTGGGGGGTGGCTGTGGCTCACTGTGAGGGCAAGGACACTGGCAGCAGAAGTTCTGGGAAGTACTCCTTGGCATGAGCCCTCCCAAAGTCTGCCATTTGCCCCACCGAAGAGCCTGTAGCCTCCAGTGCTGGGTCACCTCAGGCCAAACAACCAACAGGGAGGGAACTCAGCCCCACCCATCAGCAGACAATCAGATTAAAGTTTTACTGAGCTTTGCCCACCAGAGCAACACCCAGCTCTACCTACCACCAGTCCCACCCATCAGGAAGCTTGCACATGCCTCTTAGATAGCCTCATCCACCAGAGGGCAGACAGCAGAATCAAGAACTACAATCCTGCCTGTGGATGAAAACCACATTCACAGAAAGACAGACAAAATGAAAGGCAGAGGACTATGTACCAGATGAAGGAACAAGATAAAACCCCAGAAAAACAACTAAATGAACTGGAGCTAGGCAACCTTCCAGAAAAAGAATTCAGAATAATGATAGTGAAGATGATCCAGGACCTCAGAAAAAGAATACAGGCAAAGATCGAGAAGATGCAATAAATGTTTAACAAAGAGCTAGAAGAATTAAAGAACAAACACCTAGAAGAATTAAAGAACAAACAAACAAATGAGATGAACAATACAATAACTGAAATGAAAAATAAAATAGAAGGACTTAGTGGCAGAATAACTGAAGCAGAAGAATGGATAAATGACCTGGAAGACAGAATGGTGGAATTCAATGCCATGGAACAGAATAAAGAGAAAAGAATGAAAAGAAATGAATACAGCCTAAGAGATCTCTGGGACAACATGAAGTGCACCAACATTCACATTATAGAGGTCTCAGAAGGAGAAGAGAGAGAGAAAGGACCTGAGAAAATATTTGAAGAGATTACAGTGGAAAACTTCCCTAACATGGAAATAGCCACCCAAGTCCAGGAAACGCAGAGAGTCCCAGGCAGGATAAACCCAAGGAGAAACATGCCGAGACACATAGTAATCAAACTGACAAAAATTAAAGACAAAGAAAAATTATTAAAAGCAACAAGGGAAAAATGA